TTCTATCCCCACCCCACAACGGATACTTAATAAACAATTTCTTAGAAGCTACGTCTTACGATCGACGGTTTTATGAAGTAAATTTAAATTCTATCCCCACCCCACAACGGATACTTAATAAACAATTTCTTAGAAGCTACGTCTTACGATCAACGGTTTGCTAATAATGGACCATCCAAGTGGCCGAGCCGTTCGCCAGATCTAACAGGCTTGGACTACTTTATATGAGGGTCAATAAAAAATATTGTTTGCCAGAACCCACTGATCACTTTAGGTAACTGTAAGCAGAGTAAGAAATACATTTGCTGGAAATCATAAGAACTGCCACTCATCAGGAGTCAATACGTAGGTGTTTTAAATGTTTGGAAGTTCGGGGTGGTCATTTTGAACATTTACCAAAATAAGTTGTTTCTTGTTATGTTTTAATTTTGTTTTATAATAGTATAAAAGTTAAATATAATGGAACTAGCTTATTGTTTCCTGCTACGAGGCGTGTCCGTAAAATAAGTTCCACAAATTTTTTTCATATCAAAAAATTGGTTTAATTGCAAAGAAAATACATTTTTGGAAAGTTCAGTCTTTCTTTTATTTTTCTACATAATCGCCGTTGCGTTCTATGCATCTCTGCATTCGAGGAGGCACCCACTTCTTCAAACCAGAGTCATAGAACTCTGCCGCCTGTCCGTGTAGAAAACTAACAACCGCGTTTTGCACCTCTTCATCTGTCTGGAATTGGGTTCCGCCAAGGTTTTTCTTCAACTCAGGGAAGAGATGGAAGTCACTTGGTGCTGTAGGGTGGGTGAGACACCATTTTCCATCCAAATCTTTCGATGAGGGCTGTGGTTCGATTGGCGGTGTGCGCTCGGGCATTGTCATGGTGAAAACGCACTCCTTTCGTCAGCATTCCTCTTCTCTTGTTCTGAATGGCACGTCTAAGTTTTTTCAAGGTCTCACAGTACCGGTCAGCATTGATTGTTGTCCCGCGAGGCATAAACTCGCACAACAATACGCCCTTTCGATCCCAAAAAACGCTAGCCATGATTTTCCCGGCAGACAGGATTTGTTTGAACTTCTTTGCTCTTGGTGAAGAAGAGTGCTTCCACTGCTTCGATTGCTCCTTTGTTTCCGGTGTGGTGTAGTGTACCCAGGTCTCGTCACCAGTAACAATAGAGTCCAGAAATTCCTCTTCGGTTGTTCCGTGAAAAGCGAGAAATTCTTGGGCCGCTTCAACCCGCTGCCGCCGGTGGTCTGCAGTGAGCATTCTTGGTACCCATCTTGCGCAGACCTTTGAATAGCCTAAATGTTCAGTCAAAATCTTGTCAGTTGTGGTTTTGCTGACCTCCGGAATCTTTGTGCACAGCTCCCGAACTGTAATCCGTCGATCTTCAAGCATTGCCGCTTCGACTTTGGCAATTGTTTCGTCGGAAACCGATGGCCGCCCTGCACGGGCTTCGTCGTGGACGTCTGTTCGGCCATTTTTGAAGTCCCTGACCCATCTGCGCACCATCCCGCAGCTCATACAGTCTTCTCCATACACTTGACAAAGTTCTTCGTGAATTTCCTTCGCCGATTTCTTCTTAGCGGCCAGGAAACGAATAACAGACCGCAACTCGCTGCTGGCGGGAGACGCAAGAGGAAGCTCCATCGCTGACGGCTGCTGAGCCAAGACTAAACGTCGCAGCGACGCTGGCTTGGTGAGGGATTGGAGTGGGGGAACCAAACAATCTGCCTCTGTTGCCTGGCTGTGCATAGAAACGATCCTAGCGCCAGCGGCAGCCCGTGGAACTTATTTTACGGACAAGCCTCGTATTATGGCGAATAAATATTATTATTATTATTATTAATTTCATTCACTGTATGTGTGCTTGTTTGGAAATCTACTAGCTAACTTATAATAATTAGTCTTCATAATATTTTGATTACGAATACATGAAAATTTTTAATTATATTATTATTAAAAGCTTAAAATTAGACGTAGTGGTATTTCTGTAGTGCTCAATTGTTTCTTCTCTGCGTCCCGCCGTCATAGCCAACTAATGAAAAAACTAAATCAGTACTTACAGGTGTTTTACAATAGAAAAGTAATACATTGCAAATTACTCGAAAAGTAAACATTTTTGGGATAGATAACCATATATAAAATGACGCTAATTTTTAATACTTTATGCGATAAACTTATAAGAATAGGGAGTTTTCATTTGAAAAAAATCGACTTTTGGCAATTTTTGACATTCAATTTTTACACTAATTTTTTGACCACCCTGTATAAATAATTATCGAAATATCATACAAAGTCTATTAAACTATATCCCTGTTTACCATAGAATCAATCCACATTAAACAATAAGCTGTTCTACATAGGGGAAATGAACAATTATTTTAGAGCCTGCAAACGTCATTTTTGACATAGAATTTGAAATATGTCAAAAACGGTTGGACTTGGGTATAGGAAATTATACATGAAATGTGATTAGAATCTTATGTAGAAACTGAATACTTTAAAATATAAAATTTGGCATCAACTTCTGGTATAACCGAAAGTGCCACCATCTTGAAAATATTTTAGCTGCCGTTGCCCCATCGACATTAGTATACTTCCAGATTTTCAAAAATATCATGTGCCTAATTAGCATTGTTTTATTACTGCATCGTATTTTTTATATTTCCCATTGATCGGATATAATGTTTATATAAAATATATGCTTGTATAAAAATTCGTAAAATCTAATTGAAGAATTGTGCCAACAACTCGCACATGTTCTAGACACCCTATAGTAATGCATATCTATTATAGTGTATAGCTTTGCTGGAAATCAGGGGACTTCAGGATGAGTCTGTGCCTATGGGACTTGACCCCGAGGTACTTGAAAACGTGGTGTCAAATATCTTCGATAACGAAAATGATTATAAAGAGTTGGAAATGTTCGAGGGGCTGGAAAGCGATGTTGTATAAGACAGTATTTCTAAAGAAAAATATAATCAAAATGTATACGTTAATGTTTTCTACATAAAATGTAATTAGTATAAAATATTAGAATATAACTAAGTAATGCAAAATATTAAATGTAATGTAATAATTGATCGAAAATGCTAATTATGCACAACTATACATTTTATAATTATTTTTAAACCTAATACAGAGTATTATTCATCAGCACTAACGGTTGACCTTGCATTATGCTATAAATAGCTAAGAGCTTCGCGTTTTCCTCCCTCAATATTAAAAACTGTTAATTGTATGAAAAAATTCTTGAGGCAAAAGTTGTTGTTTTTGTGGCATTTTTTGGCCTTTGATATCTTAAGACGCGGATACGAGTTTTTATGAGACCTCTGAAACCATTTTTAGAATAGCAAAATAAGCATTTCTGCAAGTTTACAGCTTATTACCTGTCATTCCGAGGCTGACCCTCTCTAATGGCTTATTTAAACTTCATAAGCCCATAGTCAAAAACTTACATTACGTACCGAGTGGGGTGCAAATGTTCCCCAACATTTTTTAGCTTAGTTTTTTTTTTATTTGTGATTAATCAAAAATAAACACATTCTGATTTAAAAAATATATATCTTGACACGGGTATGCTGTAAGCATTGAAAAATATACACATTTGAAAATAATAATATGAAATCATTGTAATATAAAGAAAAATAATTAAGAAAAATATAATACCTATATAAGAATCTGTGACATTTTGAATAATAATTTAATTATTAAACTTGTTACAAACTGTAACACTTTTTGAATGTTCTGCACATACGTACTGATTGGACCGAATACAAAACTTTTTCTTCTTTCCTGTCTTTACGTCTGTCGCATAAGAAACGTCGCTGCTGTCTGCCCATAACGGGGACAGGTTATTTATTACTCACATTTAATTCCGACAAAATGATTAACATGGATTGTTTTAAATTGGAATGTAAAAGCCTGTCATTATGGTAACTATATTTTATAATTTTTAATACTAATTATATTATATATTATATAAATATATTTAAGAAACATTCCTCAAAGGGAATTGAGTTAAACTAATATTTTATAAAGTACCCACAAGAATTGGGGTGCAACTGCACTTTATGAAGGTTAATTAGACTAATATCCAAAAGTATGCTCTAAATCTACGTTATGCTGGCGACAACCAATGCTTTGTAAACATATAGGCTTCGCTCCTAACCGATTCGAGCTGGTTGGATCTACACAAGTGAAATATCGTACTCGTAAATCCTTAAACCCCCAATTATCACCCGACCGCTAATCCAGAACAGTCCTGTCAGTCCGTCGTCGCCGCTCGGCGAACTCCCGCGGAACTCCCGACGGGGCAACTCAAACTTGACAACTCGTCGGTCGTAACTCGCCGCCTTCTGTGGAATAAGACGCTCCGTGAGAGAGACGCTATTATCAGGAGGGTTATATTGCGCTTTTGCTAACGCGTTGCTACACACTAAACTTTGGATACTATCTTAGCGGCGATGCACTTAAGTCTCCCGCCCGACCTCGCCATCCCGTTTGCGCGGAGTTTCTTGTACTTCCACCAGCGGTATAGGGAACGGAGATGCATGCGTCGCGTACTCGATATACGAATATACATATACAGGGTGTTAATAAAGTATGTAGGCAAACTTTAACCTTGGTCAATTTGAAAACTTCTATATGAACATGGGTCCGCAACGGCTTGGTCTTCAAATAAATGATGATATTGTTCTAAGAAATTATAAAAGAATGTAACGTATTTTATTTTAATTAAGTATGCCCTGTGGTGAAGTATCACATGATTTACAGTTGTTTTCAGACCCTCAATGTACGTAGATACGGATAACGTTATCTAGCATTTTTTTGAAAAAAGAGCATGACATTGATTTGTTTCGATCGCAATACTTTTAATATTCAAGCATTGTTCTTATCTAGACACCTATGACGTATCCGAAAACAATTGAATTAATTTATTTTCTCAAATAATCCGACAGCTGTCAAATATTTGTTTTCTTGTCTGGTCATTCTAAGACTCCAAGTTTTGGTGATTACTAATTGTCATAATGGTCCAGTTCGGTAATCAAGAAATGACAGAGATGGATTTCGTTAACGGAATGTCTCTAGGTAACGCTCGACTAGCACGATGTTTGTACGGTAATCGATTTCCACAACGCCCGCTGCCTAATGTACAAACTTCAATATTTACGCTCTACTTTGTAAAACAGGCAGTTTCAAGAGATCCACACATGTTGCAGGAAGACCCGCAAGGGTAAGAACCATCCAAATCGAAGAAGCTGTGCTTAATAGAATCGAAGAGGACCCTACACCAAGTACACGAAAAATTACGCACCAGCTAAATTTAAATCATGTAACGGTATGGCAAATTTTGAAGGATCAGCAACTTTATCCATATCATATACAACGTTTACAAGCGCTTGTGCCTCGAGATTTGCCTATAAGAGTTGATTTTTGCAACTGGTTACGTTAAAAAGTAACAAGGGTGGATTTCACCAGGATTGTCAAATCAACATTCCGTTACTTTCCACCTATAGGGTGACAGTCCGCCAAATACAGCGAATGAGCTTCAAGCTCCAATCAACAAATTTTAGCAACCAATATTATGGAATGTTAAAAACAAAATACTGTCAAAGTATGAGATGACAGCTTGTCATTGAAACATCACCAGCTTATTGAATATTAAGAAATTACATATAATTTAATCAAAATTAAAAAAAGTGTTCAATTTTTTAATAAAATTCATGTTTTTATTTAATATTGTCGATTGTTTATCCATGTTTATATTATTTTCTTCAATTGATATGCGATTTTACCTATAAACCTCTTGCAGATAGCCATTAAGCACCTACTTGATGACAGGCTCTACCAAAAATTTCATAGATAATGCTCGTTTCCAAACATTCATTCATTTACATGCCGTTCATTAGTACCACTATAACACCGTCGATTGCTATTCCCACAAAACCTTTCAGGATTTTTGATATCCATACATCTATAAAATCAAATATTTTTTGGTTGTTCAGGAACTGAACAAACATCCACACTATATTTACAGTGACTAAGAAATACTCAAATATATGTCGTAAAGCTACCGGAAAACTTAAAACTTGCAAAAAAAATAGAATTTGCAATAACTTTCATGTTTCACTGAGTTCATACTCGTATTCTAGGTTATATGTATATTAGGCATTATTTGAATACCAGCTGATTATTACATTTCAAAACTCCCCAACGAGTGACACATGTGTGGGATCCCTCAACCCTTGGTCTCAGTGGAGTAAGCTCCGTCAACTGTTGAAATATACTCTACTATGCTTTATAAGACTATACGTAGAATTTTGCTCAAAATCGTTGCACAACACTTGAAAAAAATGTAAATGAAAATTTAAAATTATTTCCATGACGCCCCAAAATAGCTCCGTCGGTACCTCGAGTTATACATCTTGACGATACGATTCTATATTTAGAAGTATCGATATTTTTGCTTTCCATACCCGATATTTAGGATCGATATTTTTATATACGACACTTGGGTGTATCGATACATTTGACGAGTATCGGCATCTTTTGATCCGGACTGTGTCAGAAAGAGTGACTAACTTCAGATTACTTTTCTTCTTTATTTCCTTCCGCAGCATATCGATAATTTTATTCCAATATTATAGAGAATCGATACTTCCTAAAACGATAAGAATGGATAAATATCAATACTTTTCGCGGATCTAAAGATCCCTAACCTTGACAGCTTGTCAACTGGGCTGCAGGGTGCGGTGTTGCCTTTACTATCTTACATTTTGCTAAAATCTTATGACAAATAAAAGCTTCAAATGAAATATCGACGAATATGAATGGATATGCATAGAATTTGGAATATAAATTCATATCGCAAATTTCGGATTTTCTATGCATGGACTTGAACCGGAGTTTTCGGTATTTTTACCGAAAAGGGAATAATTACCAATAACATCATTCTCCACGATTTTTCAAAATAATTTAAACATTTCTATATTTGCCGAAAAAGAGCTAAAACCAAAAGTAAAGCTAAAATTTAATTTTATGTAGTACTCATAGTTTTATGCCCCATGTCAATCATACATAAATGCATACACACACAGGCAATCGGGCACATGAGAGGCGTATATTCGGGTTGCCTATGATTATGAACGCATATCCTCATCCCTTACTCCGCTTGCCCTGAATTGATTTTTGTGCATACAGACTGGTAGATTACCGTCATTACCTCATCACCGAACAAGCAGTAAAGGAACCGAAACCTGTCTGTTTTCAAAATAAATATTTAATTAAAATGAGAGGTGAGTTCATGAGTTTAAGGGTGAAACAGAAAAATATTCACAATCCTATAAGCAAGAATCGAAAAAGGAGTTTCCAGAATGCTTGCAAAGTACTTTGAAAGAGCGACCAGTATGCACATTGTAGAAGTTGTAATATAGAACTATGCCCTCCAAAAAATGTTGTGCGCGCGCCCAATACAATAACAGACGTTTTTTATGACTCAATAGGCCTTGACCTACCACTGATCCTGGGACGGTATTTTTCTTATACCGAATTCAACGACACTATTTACCGATTCCGTTTTCTTTGCCGGTTCGGCAACACTGCAGATGTGCAGATCACTTTAAAAGGAATTGATATCCCACACGTGTTATAATAATAGAAATAACAAGAAAATATAACAATGTTTGGAGATATGTATTCATGAATAGATATTTTTAATTCTGACTTATAATACCTAGATTATGAATAATAGGTGGATGCGGATACTTTTACAAATATCGATGTTTTAGGACTCAGAAATGCAGAATGTGCTGTTTGTTTACATTTGGTGTGGATTTCTAGATCATAAATTGGCAATAATTGTTTTTGATGTAACAAAAGATGAGGAACCAGTTGGAATACGTTTTATATCCTTTTTTTGCAAAATAACAAAAATCGGTACATTTCTACAGGTACGTGATATACAGACAAAACTAAATTGCCATGGATGAACAGCCGTCAAAAACAGTGAAAATATCCTACTATATATAATAGCTAGAAAGTCGACCTATTTATTCTTTCATTTCCATTTAAATAACTGACCGTCTTTTCTGAAATAATACTAATTTGAAATTCTATGAAAGTTATCCTAATTCTAAAGCACAAAGACATAATATTACATCTAAAATGTACCATTATTTATAAGGCAACCGTTTTTTCACGACTTTATTCAACATTTCAATAGAAATCACTGATATTCAGAGAGGTATTTTCCTATTGGTCCAACTGACCGTCAAATATTAATGTTGGTGAAATTGGCCCTTAATCAATTTTTTTTAAATCGAATTATTCACAGACGAAGCATGTTCTTCGCGAACAGCAATAATAAATTTCTATAATAACCATGTATGGTATGAAGAAAATCCCCATGCCATAATCAAACATAATACGATACACGACTTTTTCTTCAATACTTGATTGGCCCTCATTTCCTTCCCCCAGACTTAGCGGCGAAGAGTACCGAAGACTTTTGGAATTTGACCTATCTGGATTAATGGAGGAAATTTTTTTTTAAATCGAATACTATTCACGGATGAAGCATGTTCTTCGCGACAGCAATAATAAATTTCTATAATAACCATGTATGTTGTGAAGGAAATCCCCGTGCCATAATTGAACATATTACGAAACACGACTTTTCATTCAATACTTGGATTGGAATCTTTAGTGACTTGATTGGCCCTTATTTCCTTCCCCCCAGACTTAGCGGCGACGAGTATCGAACATTTTTGGAGTGTGACCTATCTGGATTAATGGAGGAAATTCCTCTTAGAGAACGATGCCTCGTGGTACGTGCATGACGGTACTCAGCCACACTTCAGTGTCGTTGCGCGAGAATACCTAGAACCTAGATAATAATTATCCAAATCGATGAATTTCTTTTTATGGGGACATTTGAAATCATTAGTATACAAGACTCCTGTTCAAAGCGTGGAGGACTTAAGAGTCAGAATTGCCGAGTCATGTCTGATTATACAAAATACTCAGGGTATTTTCAGGAGAGTTCGTCAGTCAATGTGTAACAGACTAGACGCCTGTATTGAAGTTGAACATTTATTGTTAAAAAAACTATTCGGTATTTTCTATTGTTGTCGTTCTATTCGAATGTTACTATTCAAAACTGTTGATCTAAATATTTTTTTTACACAAATACAGGATAATACTATTTTCATCCACGTTCATATTTAGCCTCAACAACTTGTAAGACATGCAAAATGTATCATAGGTTCAGTACTGTTCAGTAAATACGTTTTATTATTCATAGAAATATTTGGAACATTACTCGTATTTCTTTAGTGATAGAGCTCTAGCTCGGAAAGAAAGCCGTTACGGACGCATGTTCATATGAACATTTAGTCTTCAAGTTGACCAAGGATTCGATGGTTAAAGTTTGTCTACATACTTTATTAACACCCTATATGTATATCTATTAATGATGTACAAATATTTCAAGGTAGAGAAAAGGCCCCCAAGCCAGATCTCTCCAGTAAAGCAGACCGCTAGTCTCATTGGCTCTGCATTTACTGAAAGTCCGTCATTGCCAAGGTGTGAATAGTACAGTGGATGACTACCACGCCATAACCGAGATCACCCGCACCTTGCACGACATGTTACTTGCCTACGATTATGTGTTCCGATAGTGAGAAAAGTTTTTGCGCAGTGCTGCACTTTCCATAATTGTTCCTCGATATTTGTCAGCAAGCCTTAATAGCTCAATAATTTCTTAAATAGCTAGGTCTCAGGTTCCTCCTTTTCACTACAATTGGTCCAGTTGCGCAAACCAGTCCATTCAAGTTGCCTAAGCCCTACTCTTTTGAAATTCATTTTCACGTTTAATTAGGATGATGGGATAAACTAATGAAATGTAGTGTAGCAGAATAGGAAGACGGAATGGAAGAAGGCAGGAAAGTGGAAGAAGCACGCCTGCTATTTTTTTGTCGCTAAGGAATTAAAATCTCTGTCTCTGTTTGAGATATTTTCAGTATTCTTCCTTAAGAATTAAATGTTAGTTTTTTATCGACAATTTTTATTAGGGGTCCGACTCTGGTATCTATATGCTTTTTCATGGTATATATGACTATTATTTTTTGCCGCGCATTCCATTATTGCCAGTATTAAGTTGAGTTAGTCGAATTTTATTATAGACTCAAATAGCTTCACAACGATTGAATATAGGTATAAACTTTATTATACAAAAGTTACTAAAAGCATCACGTAAAATCTACAAATAAAAAAAATGGGGATTTCCTTTGAAAACACACAGTGTATCTTATTTTTGGATGGTCTTGTATTGTACGACTGTAGATGAACCGACATCCACCTAGAAATCATAATTGCCCTGGCAGAGCGTTTTTCCCAAGATATACCAGGAGAATCACAAATGGGAGTGCAACCTTTTCGTTGGCCACCCTGTTTATGTGGCT